TTTTGGCTCATAACACAGCTAGTCCATCGCAACTCTTTGGCAGCTTTAACTGCAAAACTTAAGCAAATGCCTAAAGAATTGAACATGTTAAAGATTCAATTAAAAGCTTTGAACTTGTTGATCGATACTATGATAGAGGCAGCAAATCTTGTCCTCGACTTTGAAGGCCTGCCTTTGCAACAACAACTTTTAGATGATGATGAAATTGTTGTTACAAAGTCGAAGATGTACATAACAGTCTACTGGATTTTAAGAAGCTCGATATCATGCGCTTCTCAGATTGCAGATTTCAGGACCATGAAAGATAACCAAGTGCATGTTTTTTCCCTTTTCCCTTCATTTAAGTCATTTAGTGTATAATATCTTTTAGTTTGTTAGTTCTTCATGATCTCTTCACCAGTAAATAAGTTGACGCGAAAAATCCTAACTCCAGGCATTCAAATTCAACAAGCATTGCAGCATGGACTCTCTTCAGCTTGGTATACAAGCTAAGTGGCTTATGCAATGACCTCAGAGAGAAATTACGTACGTGCCAAATGCAAATAGGTGATTATCTTCTATGTGCCCTTATTATAGAGAATATCTTGTTCGACAAAATTCACATGAAAAGAAGTTGAAATTCTTTTGTTGTTCTCAGGTAGAAGGTTTCCTGAAAAGATACGTGATCTTTTCAAAGTGTCCCATTTTGACAATCAAGAGGTGCTTCGTGTGTTGTTCTCGTTGAAGAATGACTTACCTCTGAAAGATAGTTCACTAGAAAAGGTACTTCTTTCTTTCCATATAAGTTATTTTCTTAATATGTAAGTGGAGAATCAATAGTCTTGTGAGTTAACAAATGAATGCTAGCAGTATTGTGGCATCCAAGAACTGGAAAACAAGGTGGTCATACTCTTGATCTCAAAGCCAGAACTCTTTACCGCAGAGAAAATATTTTATCTAGTACAACGAATGCATGATCATCCGTTACATAAAGAGATTGGAGGAAGCTATGCAATTATATGGGTTCCAATTCCATATTCACAAACCTGGAGTTTGACTGATGAGATGAACTTCCAGTTTCTGTCAAATTCATTGCCCTGGTTATCAATCCGACACCCATGGTCACTACATTCATCTGTGGTAAACTTCATTAGACAAGAATGGAGCTACAAAGACGAGCCCGTAATGGTAGTATTAAACACTGATGGTGTTGTCACAAACTTAAATGCTATTGACATGGTATGGCTATGGGGGGCCAAAGCATTTCCTTTTTCAACCTCAAGAGAAAAAGAGTTGTGGGAACAGGAAAACAGGATCTTGGAGCTTTTAATTGATGGGATTGACCCTTTATTGACCAATTTGGTAAGCTTTTATATGTTGCCTTTTAACCAATAATCTAATATTCTTTACTTGTGCTTTTAGTTGTTAACCAACAGAAGATATATATTTCTTTGATGTTAGGTAGAGGAGGGTAAACATTTTTGCATCTACGGAAGTGATAACATTAGTTGGATTAAAGAACTTAACGACACATTAAAGAAAATTAAAAGTGCTGGAATTCAGCTTGAAGCTATTTATGTTGGCTATAGAAATCCATCTAAAGTTGCAGAGAACATTTTAGACATCAGCATTGAAGAGAATTCGAGTATTTTCCTATCTACGACGAAGATGAAGTTGTTCTGGCTTAGGCTGGAGAGCATAAAGAATTCAGTTGATAGAGTAGAACAAGCAGCTCACTATAGCAGCAGCTTACAGAAAGTGTTAAGATTGCTGGATGTTTGTGAAACTTCGAATGATTGGATGATCATTGGAAAGGGATTATCAACTGATGTAATGATCCTCAAGGAGAGAGAAGTCCAAGAATGCTTAAATCTTGTTCCTGAATTGGCTGAAAATGTCGCGAAGTTAGGATTATTTAGTGCTATTAGATGTGCAATGGGATCTCCTCTGCCTGTTAAATCCTGCTATCACAACGAGATCCTTCCAGCTGAAGAAGGATTGACTGAAGAAACTGTAGTTTGCTCGCGTTGTAAGCGTCCTGTGGAGAAGTTTGTTGTCTACCAATGTAATGTAACAGAGTCAGCAGAAGCAGAACAGGAGGCAAAGATTGATTAGCTTTTGAAATAATATATTTTCTTAGTGAGGTCTTATTACATAGAACTTTAACAAACTCATTGTGAGTAGGCATTCTTGATGAGTGATCTGCAGTTCTGCATTAACACATTTACTCTTAAATTTCAAAAACAAATGTAATGCAGTACCATGCATGTTTTTTTTGTATGACAAAATTGTCTCAATGAGATGGTGAAACATTTATGTTGAAGAGTTAAAGAGTGTTGGTTTAGTTTGAACTAGTAAGCTTATAAGTATTGTCTGCTCAATTTCAGGTTAGAACTTGAAAGTTGAATGAAACTAAGTTCCATTTAGTAGACTACTTGTCCTATAGCTTGTACACCCTTAGCCCTATGATTGGTTTTTTTTCTTGTTTTGTTGAGAGAATCACCAATATTCAACTTTGAAACTTTAGAAAAGTTATTTATAAATAATAAAAGCATATAAAAGAGCACTAGTATCCCTAATTACTTTAATTCAATGTTAAGTGAGGAGAGGGTTGGTCAAAGGACAGTCAGGTGCTAATCTTCTGTTATGTGTGGGGTCCGAGGAAGGGTCGGACCACAAGGGTCTATTGTATGCATTCTTACCCTGCATTTCTGCAAGAGGCTATTCCACAACTCGAACTCGTGACCTCTTAGTCACATACCATCAACTTTATCAATTGCATCAAAGCTCCCTTTCTTTATGGTTAGTTAAAATGGAACTAAAATGCCTTAACTACAAGTGTAAGTGTCATGAGATGAACATAACTACTAAGACTAATTACAAGAGTGATCAATTTTTTAAATCTAAATATGATGAAATGAATGGTGTTTGTATATCATGCAATCAAATATGAGCTTCAGTTTTCTGTAATGGAAGAGACTAAAACTTAAATTAACTTACAACTTTCTATTGTACATCATGCAAAATATTATTTAGGTATTTTCTTTTTCTTCATACCAAATAAGAGTCTCATATGTATATATGGTTCTAAGAGAAAAATTTCACTTATCTCAGAACATCCAGTGGATCATTTAATTTCTTTTCTCATCTGCTGCACAAATTAACGACAACAACAACATAATTTTATGGCAATTATTTAACGGCAATAATATAATGGTCACTATATTATATTTAGGGACAATAATAAATTTGAGTATTTATAATGAACACTTTATATTAAATACCGCTAAAGGCTTTAGCGACTCAGGATGCAATTGCAATTACTTAATTGTCGCTAAATGTTTTTGCGTCAATAAAAGAAAAATCTATTGCCACTAAATGTCTCTTTTGTTGTAGTGAGAGTCTAAGGAGGGTAGAGACGTACAATGTACGCAAACCTCATTCCTACCTCGCGGAGGATGAGGGATTATTTTTGAAAGACCATTTGCACACTAATTACTAAAGTTAAAGATGAAAACCAACATTAAAATTCTCAGAAAACAAAAGAGAAAGAAGTAACAAAAGAGGAGTGAAGCAAATAGCAAATAAATTAAAGCACCCCATGATTGGTGTATGAGGAGTCATTCTCAATGTAAAGATTTTACCTCAGCTTGTACTAAACATTTTGGCCTTTTTTATATTCAGATACCTTTTCTTTTACCAAGCACAATTTCCTTGCTTTTTCAAATGTTTAATTATACTTTGCAATATTCCCAAGCTTCAAATTGGTCCACAAAATCATCCCTTTGAAGAAATCAGAAAAAGTGGGAAAAATAAATAAATCTTGATTCTTAGCTAGATTTTCTTGATGTCTCTAGGCACTTTACGATTTGACATGTTTATTTTTTTCAACTTGACAAAAACATCTTCCCAAAAATATGTTATAAGTTATAATATAATTAAACTTTTTGAAACTATTTTATCCCAGTTATACTAGCTAATGTATATCTTATTAGTGATTGTTTTTAATTAATCCAACAAAAGTGAATACTCTTTCAAAGGCTAGAAATTTAATGCATTGCATCTTCATACCTTTATTTTTGAGATGTACTTTTAGGGATTTTGAAGTATAAAATAACAAATCTTTCATTAACTTGAGAAATGAGTCTAACTTATATGTACATACTAATAACGTAAGAAATTTTTACCTATTTGCTCACCTCATGAAATATATCTACCAGAAATTTTCGTATAAAGATGGATTTGTAAATTTAAAAATAAGGCAAGTTATCAGGTATAACAAATAAAATGTAACTTGCCCTACCAATGTATATAGTTTAAATTCTTTAGTTAATTCCAAAACTCATCTTATTTGGTTGATACTTGCCCTCCATGCATGTCCTTCATTATGCAATTTTTTCTAAGATATTTACATGTAAACCTTCTTAAAATATGAAAATTATAATCTTGAAAAGAAGACATATATAGTAGTATTCATTATAACACAAAAATGATCTGATAGTGTAAAAAAACCTTTAAACTAATTAAGGACAGGGGTGGAGTTGCGAGCTAGGTGGGGGTTCGTGGGTTCGGACGAACTCAGTAGCTTTTTCGTAGATTCAGTATTTGTACTAAAAAATTAAATAAATACGTACTACATATGTATATTAACTCGTGAACCCCGAAAAAAAAACTGATTAATAACTTAGTGGTAAGGAAGGGGTCATAGAAATGCTTTTCATACTAGAGTTGTGGGTTAAAAACTTAAACTCAAGCATACAAACATGCATCACGTGAAAATGAGAAATCCCAAATCTTAATTATAACGATAAGAAGAATTAATGCTTTGTCTAATTTACTTTTTACTGTGAAAGGACAAAGATGTTTGCTTCATTGGAGCCATTCATAGGACCAATTCCAAACCTCTTTCATAACTTTAGACCAAATTAGAAGCAAAGAACTTGATTCACCATCACCTTTAATTATACCATTTCAATAACTTATATAAACCCTTTCTCATGCCTAATTTATTTCAACACACAACAATATTTAACTACACTTGCCTTTCTAAAAACCCTTAGTTTTTTTTTTCCATCACTTGAAATGGCAAATGTTAACCCATTGAATGAAAAGGTATCCATGAATAACCCAATGACTACAAACCCAATGAATAATATGTCAAGTGGATCTGCTGCCAATAGGATGTACCCAATGAGTAATCCAACTACAGGCCATCACATCAACCCTTTGAATGCCCAAATCAATCCTTTGAATGGATCTGCTGCCAATAGGATGTACCCAATGAGTAATCCAACTACAGGTACCCAAATCAACCCTTTGAATGCCCAAATCAATCCTCATTCTGTGGTTAAACCAGTGAGTCATGACATGGTATGACATTTGAATTGTGGGATCATTTCATTTAAAATATTTATCACGTTATTTCAATCACTTAATTATATTATGTCTCAACAGATACCAGCTAGTGTGGTACCTGCTGCTCATCATACAACTCCGATCAATCCACGAACATCAAATCTAGCAGCTAGGCCTCCACACAGGAGAGGTGATCATCATATGTTCTTGACATCTGATGATAATGCTATGATGAGGCACATTGAAGAAACTCATATCCCAGATGGCCGTGACTTTGATGTCAAGCCTCTTGTTGATATTATTGAGGACATTGTGCATCGCGCTACTCCCATTGCTGGACGTGTTCATGTACGTATCATCATCCACCTCACTTTTCTTTACCGTTTAATTAATTTCTATATACTGAAAGTTTAAAAAATACTAAACTATTACGTACTTTGTAATTATATCAGAATAACATTATTTTCATGATTCTTTTAAAAAATAAAAATTTGGAATTTTAGGAAGCTAAAGTTCAAGCACATCTGGAAGCATTGGAAGAGAAGGCTCCCCACAGTGGACTTACTGAACTACTCAACTATTTGGCATATCCTATTCATAGAATTAGTATGGAGGTAAGTGATAAAAATATTTTTAATTAACACTATCAATACAATTTAATCGATTATTATGATGATGGTTCATATATAAATGTAAAAATGACAGTTGATCAGCAAATGTGCTAACAAAGAAGATGCACACTCAACAACAATGTCACTGCTTCATTCACTCACAACCTATGCCTGGGACACGAAAGTCGCGATAACTTTCGCGGCTTTTGCCCAGCAATATGGTGAATTTGGATTGCTTGTTCATCAATATACCACAGATCCACTGGCTAAGTCTGTTGCAATCATCATGGAACTTCCAGAAATAATGACGCGTCAGGATGTTCTCAAGCAGAAATTCGATGCAATTCATGATTTGATCGACAAAAATGTTGGATGTCACAAAGTGCATTATCGAGTTTAGAGACGTTCAAACGTCTCACAATCAACATGTTATCATCACACAAGAATTGGAAATGTTGATCAATACTGCCCATATTTCCACTGCTGCTTACTGGACTATGAGGGCTGCTGTCATGTGTGCAGCTATGATTCTGAATCTCATTGCCATTGGTCATGAGTATGTTTTCTTCACTCTTTCAACACTCAATAATAAGTGAGATTATCAACCATGAAATTGATGAATGGTATGTGTAATATTATATTAGGCAAATTTCTTCAACATCTGAGGCTTGGGAGTTATCTAGTTTGACTCACAAGCTTGCAAACATATTGGATCATCTCAGAAAGGTTCTTGACCTTTGTCACCAAAAGATTGGTAAGTTATAATGTATACTATTATAAGTTATGTAAAACAAATTAAAGATATTTAATTAAAGCGTTATAATAATACAGAGGAGAAGAGGCAACATGATGCATTTGAAGCACTTCTACGACTTCTCAGGACACCTCACATTGATAACATGAAGATACTCTCAATCTTGATTCACTCCAGGGATGATCAACTCCCACTTTTTGATGGAACTCATAAGAGAAGGGTAATAACTAATTTATTACATACACTCACAATATAAATAATTTTTTCACTTTCAAAACAATAACTATATACTCCATATAAATGAAATAGTAGTTAGTTATCTTTTAGCTGACCAGATATAATAATTATTGCACTGGCAGTCAATAGAAGTTGAACTCGTATATATACTTGTCTTATAACAGGTAGGTCTTGATGTTCTAAGGAGGAAGCATGTTCTACTATTGATCTCTGACCTAGACATTGCACCCGAAGAACTCTTTATCCTCCACCACATGTATGCTGAATCCAAGACACAACCAAACAGGCCAGAGAGCAACTATGAGGTTGTCTGGATCCCTGTGGTTGACAAGAGGCTATCACCATGGACTGAAGCAAAACAAATGAAATTTGAAGAAGTACAAGCTTCAATGCCATGGTACTCAGTGGCACATCCTTCGATGATCGATCCAGCAGTGATAAGGTGCATTAAAGAAGTGTGGGGATTCAAGAAAAAGCCTCAGCTTGTTGTTCTTGATCCACAAGGCAAAGAAGCAAATAACAATGCTTACCATATGTTATGGATCTGGGGAAGTTTGGCTTTTCCTTTTACCAAAGCTAGGGAAGAAGCTCTATGGAAGGAACAAACTTGGAATATTGAACTCTTAGCTGATTCCATTGATCAAAACATTTTCACTTGGGTACGTATAACACATTTATATATGTCAAGAATTTATAATATATACGAAATTGTAGACCATGATTAAGAATATAGAATATGTGTCTTATAAATCATATTCACTTCGATATATTCCCAGATTAGTGAAGGCAAATGCATATGCTTGTACGGAGGAGAAGATATTGAATGGATCAGATCATTCACCTCTGCAACGCGGGCTGTTGCCAATGCAGCCCGTGTTCCACTAGAGATGCTCTATGTGGGAAAGAAAAACCCAAAAGAAAGAGTCCGGAAGAACAGCTCAATAATCCAAATGGAAAACTTGAGCCATGTGGTGCAAGACCAAACTCTGATTTGGTTCTTTTGGGAAAGGCTAGAAAGCATGTGGCACTCCAGGACTCAACAAGACATCCCAGGTGAAACTGATCCCATCCTTCAGGAGATTGTGACGATTCTGAGCTATGATGGAAGTGATCTTGGATGGGCTGTATTCAGCCGCGGATTGGCTGAAATGACTAGAGGTAAAGGTGATCTGATAGTGCAAGTTATGAAGGGATTTGATCGTTGGAGAGATGAAGTGAGTGACGTTACTACATTTGTTCCTGCATTGGATCGTCAACTTCGTGATCTTCATAGTCCTCATCATTGCACTCGACTAATTCTGCCGAGTACCACTGGACATATTCCTGAGAGAGTGGTTTGTGCTGAATGTAGCCGTCCAATGGAGAAGTTTATCATGTACCGCTGCTGCATTGAGTGATGATTTATGGTTGATGAAATTCGTATGAGTATGGAATGGTGCCGCTCCTAGAGGACTATATATTTGAATAAAAGGACCACTTCTAGTCCTCTTGTGAGTCTTTTAAGTATTATTAATTATTGTGCTTACTTTTGACTTTTTGATATTCATGTACTTGTTTTGATATTTGAGTGTGTGATGATTCTATAGGCTATATAGCCTTATGCAATATTTAGTGAAAATCAATAAAAACCATTTCCACATTGATGGAGTAACTCATTTATTTTTAGTTGAGGCGGTATGAAAACTACACAATACTACCTTGAAAATATTATGGATTAATGAGGGGTTGCTGAGAAGAGATTTGGTATGAGTTGAGTGTTGAGACAAAATCATAAAAATTCGAACAAATCAGGAATCGAATCAAACATAAAAAAAAAATGATATTTTTTAATAAAGAATTACTAATTTTAGTGGTATTTTTTATTTATTATCATTTATAGCAATTCATAGCAATATTATTGATAAATCTATTATATATTAAAAGTGAACTATGCATGCCATAGATGTATTATAAGTGTTTGGTAAGAAATCGACACAATCAGGGATGGAGCTACAATGTTAAATGGGGGTTCGAACGAATCCACTAGCTTTTACGGAGACCCTATATACGTACTAAAAAACCATGTACAAATATATGTTAATAGTGCGTGCGAACCCACATCAAACTAAGGTGGGTAGCGCAGTGGTAAGCGCGGGCATTTTTGAGTCTTTGGATGGGGGTTCGAGCCTAATTGGCAACAATTCAGTTTTTCCGAATTTTTTTTAGGGAAAAGGGTCAAAAATACCCCTCAACTTTGGTTTATTGTTTGACTTTACCATCGCTGTTAAAATGAAGTTAAATTTACCCTCGCCGTTACTGTACTTGTCCCTTGTACCCCTCAAATGGATGGAAATCCCCAAATCAACTAAAATTACCCAACTTTGATTAAAATGACCCGATTTCTCTTTTAATCCGAACCCGACCCACGATTTCATACCAAATTAAAACCTAAACCCATTTCTCTAATCTTCCTCTCCTTCCTCAGTTGAAACACCCTATTATCAGTTAACACCCATAACTTAGAGGCAAAAAGGCTCAACTACAACATCATGCTCCTTCTCCTCACAAGGTAAGTCATTTTCTATTGAGTTAATTTCATTTTATTATGTTAATGGATATTTAACAATGAAAGTTGCTAGCATATCACATTAGCGGGTAATTGAAAATAAATCATTTGTAATTTCGATCGGTAATTTTAGAGAAACTTTTGTGTTTTTTTCATTTCAGAAATAGAGTTGATTGATCAACGATGAAGATCGAGGTGAAAAAATTGACGATGGTGTAGCCGGTGACTGAGACGCTGCAACTGAGGCTGTGGAATTCTATGGGAAAATCAACGATGGTGTAGCCGGTGACGGAGACGCCACAACTGAGGTTGTGGAACTCTATTGTGGATTTGGTGGTGCCTAATTTCCACACACCAGTGTTTGTTTCTATAGGCTAATAGGATCCCCAAATTTTTTTGACCGAAAGGTGCTTAAGGAGGTATTAAGCAAAGTCCTACTGCCATTTTATCCGATGGGTGGGAGGCTGTGTAGGGACGAAAATGGCCATATTGAGATTGATGGTAAGGGCCAAGGTGTGCTGTTTTGCAGAAGTTGAGTCTGATGGTGTGGTGGATGATTTTGGTGGTTTTGCGCCGACGTTGGAGCTTTGAGGCTTATTCCAGCAGTTGATTACTCAGAAGGAATGGAATCTTATGCTCTCTTAGTGTAATGGGTAAAGGAGAATGGGTTTTAGGTTAGAGGGGTCGGGGCACTGGGTTTAAAATGGGGAATGGGTCGTTTTTAAAAATTCGGGTTAATTTGGGTCAATTTTGGGGATTCCGTCTAATGAGGGGTAATTTTGGTGAAATTAGTAACGGGAGGGGTAAATTTAACTTTATTTTAACGGCGAGGGTAAAGTCAAACAATAAACCAAATTTGAGGGGTATTTTTGACCCTTTTCCCTTTTCTTTTTTTTGGATTAAAAATGTGCTTTGTGCCTATCTTTTACCCTCCTTTAATTCAATTTTTTCTATATAGATTTTTCTAAATTCTTTTCTCAAACATTAAAACAGAAAATTGATGATTGAGAATAATAAAAAAGTAGTGTCATACTCCAAAACAACATCTAACTATTAATTTTAAAATAGATAATTGTAAGTAACAAAATATAGTGTCATACTCTAAAACAACATCTCACTATTGATTTCTTTTGAAGCATTCAATAAAACGTTAAACCCAAAATTTAATATTTTAAAAAACTTAGGGTTCTAATTTTTACTACCTACTTCATTGCTACTGTTTGTTGTCAAAGTGCAGACCTCTGCCTCGGTAAGTACTATTTACTCTTCTCAATTCCTCCTCGGCTCTCCCTTTTCTCTTTTTTAATTTGTCTTTACATTGTATAACAATTTATTCAAAGATCTTATTTTTAATCTTTGATTTTAAGACTTTTCCACATATTAATAATTGATTATTTTAATTAAGTTATTGTTTGCTTCTTGGAACTTCAACTTTCAAGGCAAGAGTGGCTCAAGGGTGAAGCAAGTAAAACATTTTCTTTAGGTCCCAAAAATATTAATGGTGAATTTAATAATTTTAATTTTACTTAAAATAATATTGAGATTATAGAAAAAAAATGTTCAAAATCTATACTAAAATATAACACTTATCAATCATTTACCAATAATATTTTTGAACTTTGAAATAAATAACTCAAATCTTCATGTTAATAAATAAAGTATTTGAAAGTGTACCAAATGATGGATCATTTCTGTTTTCAAAACATAACAACTTGTCGAGTGCAATTTTAATGATATGCTTATATACAGGGGCGGAGCCACCTTAGTATAAGGGGGTTTATCTGAACCCCTTCGGCGAAAAATTATATTATATATATGGTTAAAATAATCTTTTATGTATATATAGTAGATGTCGAACCCCCTTCGGCTGCTTCGTGTGTCTATTTCTACAGATTTTGAACCCCTTACTGAAAATTCTGGCTCCGCCTCTTGATCTTATATATATATATATATATATATGTTTGTAATTTAACGATTGTTATATTAGATTAATATGTTGTTCTGTTTTAAAATTTAGAACCCATAAAAATCAAATCCTGACTCTGCCTTTGGACACAATAACTTATAAGTGTAATAAAGTGTGATAGATTAATGAGGGGTTGTTGAGAAGAGATTTGGGATGAGTTGAGTGTTGAGACAAAATCATAAAAATTCGAACAAATCAGGAATCAAATCAAACATAAAAAAAAGAAGATATTTTTTAATAAAGAATTACTAATTTTAGTGGTATTTTTTATTTATTATCATTTATAGCAATTCATAGCAATATTATTGATAAATCTATTATATATTAAAAGTGAACTATGCATGCCATAGATGTATTATAAGTGTTTGGTAAGAAATCGATACAATAACTTATAAGTGTAATAAAATATGTGATAGATGTATTATTCATGAATAAAACTTGTATTATATGTGTTTTTATAAATTATCCTTTATAATATGTTTAAAAATGTATTATAAGTGTCCAATGAAAAAAAAGGCTATTGCTATAAATGATATTTATATTGATATAGTATATTATACTTCTTTCACTTCCTTCAGCTTTTATATAAACAAAATAATTAAAATTTGATGAAAATCGAAGGAAAATAAGAGTGAGTTTCCAATTTCTTAAACAATTATAAATAAATATTTTCTCTATTTTTAAAAAAAATCAATTTCTTAGAATTACACAATTTAGTAAATTAAAGTATGAGTTTCCAAATTTATAATTGAATTTTCTTTAATTATAATCAATAAATAAAACTATATATTGTTCTACAATGATTAATGGATCGTTCATATATACCATGTGCGTATTGTTTTTAAAGAAAAAAAATGAATATAAGATTAACAACTCATAACTAAAATGCAACTACAACTTTATTGTGCGGACTATCTTGGGTTGTTGTTGTTAGTTATGGTCGACACATAAAAACTATATGCTTTTTCATGATCTCTACAATGTATCAATGTCTACCATCTCATATATTTTGAGTTTGGACTGTCATCATTGGAATGTTTTTAAATTATAAAAAATTATTTAAATACATAGTTTAAATTTATTTAAACATATTAATTTAAAATTAATTAATTAGAGAAATCAACGTAACATAGGAATACAAGACTAACATTAATGTGTGATTCTCTAGGGTTGTTGTTAACTAGGGTTGACATTTATATATGAATTGCATAATTTTTATGATTTCTATAATGTGATGTCTATCATGTCTCAAATATTTTGAGTTTTAATTGTTGTTATTGAAATATTCTCAAGTCATATCTAAAAATTATTTAATATATAGTATAAATTTAATTTTACACAATAATTTATAAAAAATTAATTGGAGGTCATATTGATAACAAATACTCCTTTCATCATTTTTAATTGTTATGTTATATTTTTTAAAAGTCAATTTGACTATTTTTTAAAGTCAAATTAGATTACATTAATTCGATATTTTAAACAAGAAATTTAGATATTCAAACACTATACAAATATTACTATAAATTGCAATTTTTTGCATATTAATATGATGAAAAATATATCGTAAAATGTTAGTCAAAGTTCTTATAGTTTGACTCTTAAAGAAACCATGACAATTAAAAGTGGACGGAGGAAGTATAAGTAATGATCCACAAATTATTAAATCGGCATAATATTAAGGGAAAACTACATAAATGGGTCATAAAAACCAAAATAATTACAAGTCCATATCCAAATCCAAAGTAATTCTTGAAATACCCATTCTCTCATAAATAATTACAATCCATAACCCCCCCACCCTTCCCCCCCCCCCCATAAAGGGTGATAATTTTTGCTTAACCGATACTGTATTAGTATCATTAAGATTGATAATTTCGTTTAATTAATACTAAATTAGTGTATATATACTCTATTGGTATCATTAAAGTTTTTTGTTAAGAAATTACTTATTAGTCAATGATATTATAAGAGTATATATGTATATTGTTGTGGTATCATTAAGGTTTCTTGTTCAGAAATTACTCATTAGTCAATGATACTATAAGAGTATATATATATTTTATGGTATCATTAAGATTTCTTGTTCAAAAATTACTCATTAGTCAATGATACGATAAGAGTATATATATATATTCAC